AAGTGTTTTACGATGCTAGTAACTGCGTAAGGTCATGAGCGCGCAGGACACGACATTTTCAGTTTGTAGGAATTTTGAATTTTGCCTGGGTGGCGGCCGAAACATCCTCTTATCGATTTTGAACCACGAAAGGATATTTAACGTGCGCAACTTGCGCACGGGACCTCCGACATTTTTTTACCCTTGTCCGAGGGGGCTAAGTGAGTTTTTTTTCTACCGGAAGATCAAGGATGTGCCCGAAAGACAGCAATTTGAAGGAGCCAAGGAGTAGCAGTAGAATGGCTGCAGAAAGAGTGAGGAGCCCAAGGAAGAGGGCATAAGAGATGAGGGGGTGGGGCAGAAAGTGGAGACGAAAGCAGACGACAGAACATTGTTAGTGTGCAGGAAGGATGTGAACGGAGAACATTTTTTAGATAAAAATATTTAGTCGGTATTCGGATTCGAACTCAGGACCTATTGAATGAGACGTGAACACCTTAACCTCTAGGCCACGAGAACCCCAGATGAACACAATGCATAACTGACCTGTTGTACATCTTATGTTGCAGGAGGTTGGAGCTTCACTGGTTGGTCCTTATTATACGTTTTTATTGTGGCTCTGTTGTTTTGTATGTCTTGCTTTGAAAGGTGATCGACATGGAGCTGACAGGTTTTATGAAAAAAAAACCCCCAAAAACAACAACAACAAAAATAACAACCACAACTTCTGTTGTCCTTAGAAGACTATCATTATTATATTATTCTATCTTTCATATTTTTCAACGTGTATCAGGTGAAAGGAACCTTGATCTACAATTATTAAATATATATATGTAAAAGGACTAAAAGACAATGTAATAGTAATTGCAATAGTGTGGGTTTGCACTTTAAAAATCTACTATTTCTCAAAACTCCTGCCATGTGATACGTTAATTACGAGTTGTTCTATAAAACTGTTTATGTTCTGCTTGCACCCCATGGCTGTCCTAGGCAAATACTGATTCACATTCCCTTTTAATCCCCTTTCCTCATTCCCTTCATCCACCTTTTCAAAACATGGGGCTCCACTTTTTCAGTGTTCAAATAGCAGGAAATATCAAATACGCTTCAATCATGGATACGTACTTGCATGATAATCGTAAATAACAATAAGTACCATTTGTATTAAAAACAGTTAGGAAATGACAAATGCAGTTTTTGGAATACCTAAATAGACATAAAGTTCTTAAACATCTAGCTTTCACTGGCAAAATTGAAGGCAAACGAGGCTGGGCAAGCTACTTGGAGAACCTAAACAGATGGGTAACGGGGAAAGATCAAGATAATGTAGCTGTTTTTAAGAACATCCGAACAAAGGAATGAATGGAAAACTATGATCGCCGATATCTGCCACAGATATGGCACTTGATGATGATGGTGTAAAGCGCAAATTCCCGCTCAACAACAAGCTCAATATACTTTACAATCTACATGTATATTATTACACCGACAGACCTGGAAACTCTCCGAAACATTCTCAGCTTTCTGGGAAATATTAAGTGCTGTCATTTTGCAGACACTAAAACACCAATACACTGTGAAGTAAAACAAAATCGACTAAACAGCATTTTCCAAGGAACCCCAAAACCTGCAACTCATAAGCACAAGCCCGGAAGCTTAACCATTAGAAGACCAATGACCCCACTTTTCACGATCAATAAATATTGCCAAGGTAACGGTGTCAGTGGTGCAATGTTCAGGCGCTTTGATGTAGCACGCAAAGACGAGAGTTCGATTTTTTGTGCGTTCACATTCAGACTACCACTATTTTCTTTTTTGAAAACGTCTTCACTAAAACGATACAACGACGTCTTAATCATGTTGTTCGCATAATTCTGAAGAAACATGTCAAGGAACAAAGAATTCCATGTTAACCCAACTGTACTGGGTCCCAGTGAAAGCAAGTATTCGTACAAGATAGCTGTCCGTTGTTGTTTTAAATGTGTCAACAACATTACACCACTGCATCTTTGCGACGAGGTCAACGAAGACATATTACCATCTCTACTTTTGAGATTGGCCCCAAAAAGACAGTTAAAACCTGTCCAAAGTTTAAGTCAGAGACTCAGACGGAGAGCTTTCCAAACCACGTCCTTTCCCTGTGGAACGCATTCATGGCATAATTACAGGAAATAACCGCTTTTTCAGAATTTAAAACAGCGCTTAAAAACGAATTTAATCGTTTGATCAGTAATGACCAACACATCTCAAAACACATATTTATGTTTCTTGCGCAATTCGATGTAGATTTCATGCTCAGACTGCCAAGTAGCAAGTGGCTGTGTGTCGCAATCGATGTATCCCTTGTTATAATGTGTGTTCAAGTTTTTGTCCGAAAGGGAAATGGAGAGAGAT